CCATGCCGCCTGCTGTCCCTGGAGGCCTCTGGGAAAGCCACACCCTCTCTGGTGGCTCATTCCAGCCCCAGCCCCAGCCCTGGCCCATTCTCTCCCCAGCCTTCTTCTGAGATACGGACGGCTCACAGGCTCAGCCTATTATCTAATTAGACAAAATTTCAGCCAAATGGCACAGTTGTATGATGGTCTCCACAGACTCCCACTGAGGGCACTGAATGCTGGGCAAACTCAACCCAGGCAAGCCTCCCTCTTCAACCCCATCCTCCTGACCTTGAGAGCAGAGGGAATGGCAGTGAAGGGTATAGAAGCCAGGAGACCACAGCAAGTTCTCTTATGGTGCCATCCCAGCTGACTTTTCCAGTCCTGGTTCCCAAATGCATGTTCAATCCTAAAGGTTCACAGTGTGGCTGGAGCTCCTGGTGGGGGCGGGCCAAGCCACCCAAACTGACTGCTGATTTTGGCCTTCTGAGTTATGCAAGCCTCTTTACCCTCTTCAGGTCAGCCTGCCCCTTCAAAGAGGGCATACCATGGCTATCTGTCCCACTAGTGGACACCTGGAGTCCCTGAGGCTGACTGCAACATGGTAGCTGCCATGGCACAGGGACCTCTGGCTTCTCTAGCAAGTTCTCCCAGGCTTAGTTTCCTTCACAGCCCATCGATACAGCCCACCTCCCTCTCCAGACCTTTCTATGGAAGCAGGAACTGCTCTTGGAAAAGCGGCAGGTTCTTGAGAGGCTAACAAGTGTTTGCTTTTCATAATGGGTTCTGGAGAAGACAGCACAAGTTTGTGTTTGCACAAGAGATCCGGCCCATGCCTCCCGTTGCAGGAAGTTTGAAACCATGGGGCTGCATATGTCTGTGTATGCTGGTGGGGTTGGATATACATGTACTCTCAGGAATGTGTCAGGGTAGGAGGCTTTACTTAAGGGTGCATCTAACGTGAGTCCCACTTATTTCAGCTGTTCTGTGAGAACCTTTGGGCTTGTGGCAATGCCCTTCTGATATGAGAGGAGGCCGCTAGGCTAAGCAATGTGCTTTAGGGCCCAAGAAGCTGATTCAGTGGACCGTTGAAATCAGACACAAGTGAGGACTTTCAGGGGTCAGATAACAGGTGGAACACAGGACAACACCACAAGAATCATTTAGAAAGAAAAACCAAGGGCCAGAATGGCTGCATTAAAGAACTAAAGACATGTTTCCTGGGCTCAGCCTATGGCAGGTTGGTAGCCAAGAGCCTTGGGGAGTAGTGGAACGGGGGAAAGCAGAGGTCATAGAGGAAAGACTCATGCTGAGGACATGGTCCACAGGTACCAAAATTGGTGCGTATGAGGCAGAGCTCCAAGGGTTTGGGGATACGGTTTGTGGGCAGATATGTATCTTTCTCCTAGAAAGATGACATCAGGGTTGGGTCAGTGACACAGGCAGGGATTCCTAGATTGCATGCATGGAAAGAAGCGGCAATATATCAGACAGCTGTGCTGACTCAAGGGCCTCGATGGGGCTGCAGGAGGACGGAGGTGGAGACCAGATGGGTGGAGTGACCCCCTCTTTGGCCTCCCTACCCACAAGGCCAGGAGAAAACCTTCTGGAAGGAGTTTCCTGGGAGTGTCCCTTGACATGGACCCTGGGGGAAGCCAGAAGCATGTGGCTGCCCCCGGGGATCCTTATCGCAAGAGGAAGTCTTCACTGGGGAAGGAAACGGGCCCTAAAGTCCCTTACATCCCACGGGACAGACACATGAGCATGTAAGATGGTATGGCTCATCCTTGTGACTGACAGTCCTCAGGGAGGTCTTTTTCCTCCATGGGGTCTGAGATCCAGAAGACGGCTTTCAGCTCAGTCCACAGGCAAGGATGACAGCAGAGCCACATCCTGAACTCGTGCCTATTCCTGCACACGAATGTGTTCTATTACCTCCCGCTGCAGGGGACAGATGGACTTGGGAAATTCTGGTCACCTGCCTGGTCCATAAAATGGTGGACCTAGCACACTTGTCCATATAGCTTTCCAGGGAAGCTATAAAGGGACACTTGTGCATTGGCAGGAAGTCAGGAGTGCCCTGTGACTGTCCCGAGGACATCGTAGCTCTGAGAGAAAATTTTCCCAGCAGATTCTGCCATCTATCTAGATATTGCTATGCCCCAGGCTTGGGCTTTTGTCTCCCTACTCAGCCACCATGAATTCTGGAATATCCCAGGAAAGTACCCCTCCCTGACTTCCATTGCGTCATCCATTTGATGGATGCTGTGTCTGCCTTAGGAAAGTTTGTAGGAAGACTTTCCCAGGGGAGCCAGTGTCCTGCTACCTTCCCCATCTTGGGGAAGTCCTAACCTGGCAGAAGACCCAGAATTTCTGTAATGTTCAAGAACTGCTGTGCCTTGTCCTGTCCTGGCCCCCAGGAACATCGTTCTGGACAAATTCAGTGAAGTAGGAAAACAGCCTCCAGCCAGAGTCAAACAAAGCTTGTGGAGTCTTGCTCTACTGATGGCCATGATACAATATCACCGTGGATGGCTTGTACTTCCTTGAGAAGTTGGTCTTATCCCTCCCTGCCACACCAGACACATAGAGACAAAATTCCAACCTTTGGTGTCTCTGATGTAAGGTGACCCCTCTCACATTCTCTGCCCCTGCCCAATACATTTTAAAAGGCCAAGTTCACTTCTAGTTCTGTCCCAGATACCTGGCTATCCTCAGGCTTCTGGCATTGATGAGTACTGATGACTGTGGGAGGACCCGAGGGTCCATTCAGCCAAGCCTCCAGGAGGGTGTGTAATATGCTCTTAGCTCTCAGAGAGCTCATGTCTATGTCCCTATGGAATAGAGGGCAGGGACCACCAGGACTAGATTCACAGCACATGGTTGCCATGTGCCAACGAAGATATGCACAAAAATCAAACAGCCACGCAGAAAGCCATGGGATGAGAGTAAATGGGGTTGAGAGTGAAGGAGGTGTCTCTGAAACTCAGGGACCAGGTCACCCGGCTGGGTTAGGGATCATTTGCTTCAGTGGGGAAAATGCACACTAGCAGTAAAGTTTGGGATGTCAGCCAGACTGGACTGACTGAGGCAAAGGCACACAACCTATGAAAGCACCAGGTCTGCCTCCCACAATGCCCTGGGCCTTCTCTTTACCTAGGATTCTCCCTCCAGGGTTAGGAATGTGCCCCACCCCTGAATCTCTGCCCCAAGCCTTATCTCCAACTGAGAGGTCATGCAGAGCCCTCCTTGAAAAAAATCACTGGGAATACAAGGAGGAGAAAGGAAGCTGGAAGACATTACAACTTCCCAGAATGCAGAGGGTCCTTCTTCCTGCTCTAGGTGCAGGAGGAGTCAGACTCTTGATTTGCTTTGATGCCTGCCAGCTTCGGGAGCTGAGGGGCCACAACTAAAGCTGCAGTTGCTGCTTTATATTTTCAGCAGGATAGGGTCCTGGAAGGAGCCTCTCACAGGACTATTTGGGTCTTCCAGGATCCCTCACTCCCCTTAAGCCCCTGTCTGGTCCAGCATGTCAACTGCCTCTCAGGATTTCATGTCCCAGAAGTCTTGGCCTTGAACTTTGGTTCACAGGATCCTTGTCTCTGGACACCCATCCCCATCCTGACTGCTGTCAATGTCCTTTTGACACCTTCCCTGAGGCCTCACAAGGGTTAAGGCCCACCTGTACCACTCCAGCTGAAGGCCAACAGAGGTCATAAAAGGCAACCATAAATTAGGAGTGCCTGCTGGTGGCAGGGAGGGGTCCGTGGAGACCTCCCATTCCTAGGATGACCAGCTCTTATCTACTTCTAAGTACACACCAGTTCCCATACTCCTAGACTATGTGTGACCGGGTAGGAGGTGCCAAGTTCCTGATATACGACCCCATTCCAGGAAGCATCAGCCTCAATTGTCATAGATGCAGAGCTGCAGGCACAGACCCATCTTCAGGCCTCGCCACTGGGTTGCAGAATCACTTTCCTTCTCTGGGCCCAACCTTCATCTTCACAGGGGGATGGAGACCTCTGCAGGTCACTGCAGAGATGCCTGAAGATTGGCACCAAAAGCACTTCTTAAATTTTGCCAAGAGCTATGTGGATGAAGATTCTTCTGCTTGGGCTTTCTGTTTGGGCTAGTTGGGAGGCCTCCATTCCAGCCTCAGTTTCCCAAGCCACCAAAGAAAGAAAATTATCACCAGGATCTGGGCAGGTCAGAATTCTATATGAAGGTCCCCTATGGAGCAATCTAATCCCCATTCAGACCTGCCCTATGCCCCAAGATGTCCCCATGCATACCCTTAAGAGGCAAAGGCAACTTGGAATGTGGGGAACAGTGCTGTGCAGGGATCTGGGTGGGCTACAAAGTGGCTGAGTTGCACCAATTTTCCTGTAAGGGCCAATTAGGAAATAAAACCATCTTTCCCATTCCTGTCCCTCTCCTGGCTAGGGAGAGGCAGTTCTAGGTGAGCAGTGACCAGGATACATGCCCCTGGGAATAAGCAGACTGACTGTTTGCTTGAGGAGAGCAGGGATGTCAAATTTAGCAATATTGCTTGGCTCAGGTGGCTTATCACCCCTCTGGATTCGAAGCACATAGTCCCACCAAGGGCTAGCAGCTGTCTATTTATTATTATTTTTCAATATTCACTTATTTATTTGTGTGGTACACGCATGCCATGGCTTGTGTGTAGGGGTCAGAGGACAGTTCTCTCCTTCCACCACGAGTGTCCAGGATAGACCTCAGGTCATCAGGTGTGGCAGCTTTTACACACTGTTGCAAGTCCTAGAAATCAAACTTCTCTGGTCATGTTTAGCCTTTTGGTGCCACCAGGCAGTCCCATTTGGCCTGGCTCTGAGATATTTTTATTACCACACTCACTCTA